TTTGGGCAAAACAAGCGTGACGGACTGCTGAGGGTAGCAAAACAGCCCCTGTGAGGAGGGATGAGAGCCTTGCTGCATGTTGTATATATAAAACCAGTGCTGCCGGCCAAGGCCAGGACTTGTACAAAGAGCTGGAGCTGAGGGGAGATGGAGAGAGCAGCCAGTCCCCAGTTGGGCCAGCAGCACAGAGGACTGCCAGGCATGGCTGGGCTCGTCAGACAGCACATGGGTGGAGGCCCACAAGCCATTGAAAACTCCTGCAGTTAGGTTTTGCCAACACATCTGACTAATCTGGAGCATGTTTCCAGCTCTGCTTCGCTGCAGCATTGCTTTACGTGTAGGTACTAACTACATTTGGGAACAGCTCTACTGTCCTCTAAGGGTGTTGCAAAAAAAAACCTACAGAAGAAAGATAGGGTAAGAGCAAGGATGTTCTCAACCCTTCCTACTTCTTTGTAGTTTCTATACTTCCCCTCTGCAAGGTACAAACATTGCTCACATTATGCCAATTCTTCTACTAGTCATGCTGCCCAGTTAAGCATGGAAGCCAATCCTTTCTCACTTCCATGATCAGTTCTTTCTCACCTCCATGATCAATCCCTTCTCACCTCCCTGCTGCCTCTGCCCTTCAACCCCCCACCTCAACGGTGACGGGGAGAAAGTGACATTCCAACACTCATCCAGTACGAGTAACTGCACAACATTCAGGGCAACTCTGTCCTCTCCACATAAAGCTTTTATCCATCAAGAGGCCCAGTTATCCTGCTTTTGAATCTCCTTGGAAAAGTTCGAAATGCTTAAGTGGCAAACTAATGTTCAGCGTAAAGATCCAAAGGGGAGATATTATGCTCTCCGAGGGAGACTGCACATTTCCCTTCCAAGCCTGGACTCAGTTGAAGTATTACAATAATGACAGATGAGCTCCTCCAATAAGAGGCTTTCCTTTCCTTGACTTCAGTGCACAATTTTCCAGAGTTTTATGCAACATTTTAATCTCATGTCTTTCAACTCTATATTCTCCTGCTATGTTGCTTATGAAAATGGCATTAATAGAAACAGAAAATCTGTTAAGCAGGGTAAGTGCTGTATTACATGTGAGAGCAAAACAAGCAGCCCCTGGCACTGAGCACCAAAAGGATTCCATTAAACAGAAGGAATACAGTCTTCCAACTGGCAGAGTATCATTTCGCTTTGTTGACAGTATATAGTATAATGATTATCTACAGCTGGGATGGGGAAGTATAAATCACGTTAAATTTTTAAAATATACTTAGCTATGCAGACCACAGGAATACACAACATTCATAAATCGATTATGGCTATGGGATTTTTTTTTTTTTTTCTAAGCAATAGTTATTTATAGGAACTAAGTGCAACTCCCACATCTTCATTAGCAACTGTTTCAGATCATCCAAACTACAGAAAGTGTTGAGAAATTTAAATAAACACACTTGGCTAACAGTCTTTTCACAGAAAAAAAAAAAATATATATATCCTTAATTCAAATAAATCTTTAACATTCATTCTTTTGCAATATACCAGTCTAATTTTTGCTTTGATTAAAAAATCATTTTTAGTTTCACTAGATTAACATTATTAAGGAGATACCACCTGAGAATACTGAATAATAAGAATATCTGAATAAGGAAGAAAATTCCCTGATAAAGTTATTAGCTACAGATTAATTTCTTTGTGCAAGTGACAGAGACTTACAGAATATTTATAATGACTAGGCAAGTAGTCTATAGGAACCTTGCACATTTATCTTTCACCAATCACAGTCTTATCTTTTATATATTAAAAAGAAACTCAGAAACTGATAGTGTGGACAGCTTGCTGACATGAAAATTTCTCAGTGTTTTCTTCACCCTCCATTTTCTTTCCCCATTAATATAACCCAACAGGTATTAGTCAGCAAACTTGGCAACAACAGGCTTTGTCTTCGCAAGAACTTAGGACATGGGATTCCAAACCTAAAAGATCCATTCACAGAAGAAATTACACTCATAGGTACATTTAAAATCATCTTTGACAGAACTGTAATCAAAAAAGTATGGACATGCATTATCAAAAGACTTCTTTTTTTCCTATTTTTAAATTCTGTTTTCATCACTTAGATATTTTTCATATATAGAAGAATAATAAATATGTAGGAAAATATTAATCTTTCTTAAAAACATCTCAGTAAAGAGAGTTCAACATCCTGTACAAAGATACCTTGCATGTTTAGAAAGAAATCAATAGATTTTCAGAAAAGTATGGCACAACTTCCCCTTGCCTACATTGTAAAAGTCCAGACACTGTTGTCGAAGATCATAGATTTTTAAAACGTAAGGTAGGCACAATGGCAGCATAAGAGTCCTCTTGCTTGCCCATAAGGCAAACAATAGGTTTGATTAATATTAAGGCGGGTGGGGGAGGAAAGTTAAGAAAGGGAGGGTTGCCAAGAAACTGTCACTATGAAAGTTGGCCAGAAAACAAGTTCTACTCTGTGAAAAATTCTGAAGTTTTGGAAATCTAATTTTCCTCCACATCAAGATGAACCATCCACTCCCAAACGGGAGGGCCTGTTGGTTAGAGCACAACCCTCGTCGTCAGTCCACTGATAGGACAGTACTGAGCCTGTCTCTCAATCTCTCCTGTTGGAACATTAGATAGATTAAATAGTCACTAAGGTTGGCAAACTACAGACCAACGCTAAAAGCCTACAGCCAGGCAGAACACGGACTTTCTCTCATTCAAGAAAAGGATCCCATCTGTCAAGACAGTAAGCATGACCTTGCTTCTTATGAACTGGGCTATAGACCAGTTTCCATATCTTTGGCCCATGGAATGAAGTTGGGAGGGTTTTATTCAGCTTTTTCTTTAAAACTAGCCCATCAGTTGATGAGTTTTCTATGGGTTTCTCAGCAGCAGGTTGTTCACAGCTATTGTGAAGGTCTCATGCTGCAAATTTCTCTTTCATTTGATTTGGGGGAACCAAGCCAAAGAAAGTTTCTGTTTAAAAGGAATTATTTCTATGAAAAGTTTTGATGGGTCAGCATTTTCCAATTAAAAAAAAAAAGACATTTCCTCAGAAAATTCCTAACCAGCTCTAGTCATCACTTTTCAGAGAGGTCACATGTCTGTAAAATGGAAATTGCAATGCACATGGAAAAGGAGTTCAGAAAAGCGTAGTAGCATGGTACTTGTATCTCTGCGTCACCTGCTAAGAATGCCCACGAAAAAAAATCATCACTGAGCAGACTGAGCACAGAAGCTCTGGTGAGATGTTCAGCATCCTACAGAACCACACTCTTACTGTAGGGGAAAAATGACAGGTTTTACTGCACGTGACGCTGCCAGTCTTTTTTTGACTTGTCATCTCAGATCACAAAATATTCCACTTTTAAATTCTTTTTTTTTTTTTTTTTTTTTAACTAGTAAATCCAGTTTGGTCTTGGAAGCCATCACCATCACTTGCCATACGTGTCGCCTGATGCCCTCAGACCTCACTCCGGGACGCAGCCGCTGCCCGTGCCTGCCCTCGCTCTGCCTGCTCCTGGCGGATCCTTTCCCTGAATTGTGGCTGTCTTTTGTTTCTGTCTGTCCAAAGGTCTGACCCTAACAATGTTGGCGGAAGGAAGGAAGGAAAGGTTTGTAGAAACCTTTGCAAAGTTTTTTTTTTTTCCTTGAATGTCTCCCCAGAGAGCCAATAGAAACACAGAGTAAGCTCTTCAGATATCCAGTCCAAGGGGGACACTTCAGGAAAGAAATTCAGCTAAAGAGCTTCCAGCACTTGATTACTTATTGTTTGCTCCATCCACCTCCCTGCCCCCCCACCCCACCCCCACCCCCTCGGATTTCATCGGGAACGTCTAATGAAATTACAAGTATTTCAGTCTGGAAATAGCACACTCATGCTGCTGAACTTCAGCAAGGATATTCCCTTTCAGCAACGCACTATCCCGTGGTTTGGGTATTCCTTGTCAACTTCTGTTACTTAACATTTATTCTACCGCTGGGAAATTCAGGACACATGTTTCCTCGCGTCCTGATAACGCCCGGGAGGCACCTATGAGATTTCCTTCTCCCGCTATCAGCTCCTCCAGGGCCGCCCGTCCCGGGCGCCCCCCCGAGCGCCC